AGGTTCTCGATTCGTTGCAGACCGTTGCTTTGCAGCCAGAGACTCCTCAGCCCTGTGTACTCCTCCAGGTTCTCGATTCGTTGCAGACCGTTGCTTTGCAGCCAGAGACTCCTCAGCCCTGTGTACTCCTCCAGGTTCTCGATGGTGGAGAAACCTTGCATATGCAGGTACAGGGTGTCGTTCAGGTAAGGCGTATGGTACAGTTTGTGCTGCACGCAGAGGTGTTTGAGGAACTTCTTGGTCATTCGTGGCTCTGATTTGGTTCCCTTTAGYAATGAGCCTTTTTTCAGTCCGTCGCCCTCCAGCTTTCCATCATGAGCACCGTTCTTTACGTTTTCTGAGGCGTTTGTGTCAGGTGCTGTCGAAATATCTCTGCTTTCCAAGTGATTTTCCATCGTTTCTAGCAGTTTTCAGAAAAGTCTGCTCCGCGAGTATGTGAGGTTTGTCCTCAGGGGGAAAAAAAACAAAAGTAGTTTATGTACAAAATATTTTAAAGAAAGCCGTGTCATCGAATAATTAGCACGTAGCAAATCCGCTCGGTTTGTTTTGCTCCGTTGCCGTGGTAACGCTCGGTCGGCCCCTTTCAAATGACCGGATGTCGTTTGTTCTGCGTCGGAGACTTTTAGCTGCTGCACCGTGCCGAGACTGCAGCTAAAATTAAAAAAATAAACATGCCGGAGTCTGACATGTTCTGACGCGGTGTGCTAACATTTGGAATACACCGCCAGCTTGTTTGTAAAGATGTTACACTTTCTCAGGTTAGAGGGAATAAACGATGGATGAAAACGTACCTTATGGCGAGGAAGGTAAGGCTAACAGCTAGCTAAAGCTAGCCTGCGAGCATCTCAAGGCCACTTAGTGTACAAGTGATTAAAGATTAATTATTTTCAGCCGAATTAATAGTTATTGATAAAGACATCATTTTACTGCTATTTTTACACGATTACTGTTTATCATCTAAGAGTCAGTAGGGATTATTCATCTTTTATCCCCTTTAGAATGGAATATGTGTTTTCACTTTTTTACTTTAGTATTGAATGAATAGTGCACTGACTGTGTAAATGCATAATTTTTTACTACGTAAGTTAAACTTTATTTCAGCAAAACCACTTAGAAATAATTAACATCTTCTCAACGTACTTATGGTTCACTATTTGTGATATTTTAATGGACGAGTTAAAATATTTGATTGTGTTTCAGGTCGCAGCATCCTAACTGGGAGGTTCAAGATTTCAGCACCCGCCTCCATGAAAACTTTTCCCCAGAGCTACTCAAAACCGCCTTGTTACCTGCAGGCGGAGCAGGACTAGAGGAAGGAATTTAGGCGTGGTCTTGGAGACCACAGCTCTAGTTCTTCAGGGTAACGTCCAGCTGAGGCAGCAGGTTTCACCAAAAGCTTCCTGACTGACTGGTGCAGGGCAAGCTTTCCTATTCCGCCAGGTGAAGGAGTAGAGGCCATTGTGGGGCATCTCAATAGTCCAGCCGTTGTGGCGAACGTCTCAAGAAAACTGGGCGTTGAGGACTTTACCAGGAGTGCAGAGTTCCCAATGATGCGCTCCATTCTACGTTCACGGCAGTGATCGGAGCGCTGCAGGAAAGCAGAGAGAACTGGATTGTTTTCTTAGAGTAAGAAGTGTAGTTCAAAAATCTCTTGCTGAATGATTTCTTTAAAAATAATGTGCTCACCCCAGATCCGTACTGTTGTCTCACTGTAACGTGACATTATTCTTCTCCTCAGGACTTCCTGGTAACTCAGCTGACATATGGACTGTGTTTAACCCTGTGGGGCTTCTGGTGGAGGAAATGATGAAGAGGAACATTCCTTTGACAGCACCTTGTCTCATCAGAGCTGCTGGATCCAGTACTGTCCTACCTCTCTACTTTGTAGGCCTGTACAGGTATGTGT